GTCGGTTTGTGACCCTCTCGCCACGTAGTGTTATTAGCGAGATGGGAACTTGTGGCTAACCCTAACCCTAACACTAACCCTAACCATATCAGCTAGATAGTTACCAGGGTACGTTCCGGTATACCGGACCGTACTCAGGGTACGTTCCGGCAGTACCCTGGGGGACATAGACCCTATCAGCCAAAATATCCTTGATCCATCCACTACTAACTATTATTAGTAATACTAATAGAGTAATAGTAATTAGTTTGTTACATGATGTACACAATCTACCTTAACATTAACCTCATAACCTCATCAAGATTAGTCTTCAAAGTCGAAGGGTATAAAGGTCAATTATATCGAAGACCGAGAGAGACAAAGTTGATCAAATACTCGACAGATTAGCTCTAGTAACGCTGAGAGGGTCTATGTCCACAGGCACTTGAAGAGTTTCAATAAAATATAATGCTAACTAAATACGAAATCTATTTACTACCAAATTCTTAATGTTTCTTTACTCTCTTTCACTTATTAGTATTATTGCCGACAGTTTCCTGTCAATTCCGTCCAAACCCTACGTCTAACCATATACGCTGCCGGCGCCATTGCTTTTGCGGCGCGACTGTTGCACGCTTACACTAATATATATAGCAGGTAGGAAAGTGTGATCGCAAAATTTGCTCGACGCTCGCTGGATTTCACACTTTCACAGCACAAATACACATCCAACAGCTTCCATCTTTGTTTGTATGTCAAGAACAGTGTTCACTTGTTATAAAAACATAATGTCTCTGTTCGTAACCGAGCTGTGTCACGCGAAATCACACAAAGACTGACGAAATTCTTGCGTTCGCGAACCTTGCCCTATAATGTAAATGGCTGCAAGTACAGGGCTATATATAGACTGGGACTCGCTCCCACCTCGATTACCCATCGAGTGACTAAGCTAAGCCGAGAGGTTGGAGCGAGTGCCAGTCTATGGGCTATAGGCGGTGCGCAGGCAGCGCACTGCTTTCCAACTCCCGTACGAGCCTCGCCATTGGAACGTTGCAAAAACGTTGCAGCGTTGCGGCGCAAGAATGAGGTCACGAACAGCGCCGGTGGGTGTTTCCTGATTCTGACAGACATTTACATTACGGGGCAAGGTTTGCGAACGCGAGAGTATTTGTGTGATTTCGCGTGACACAGCTCGGTTACGAACAGAGACATTATGTTTTTATAACGAGTGAACACTGTTCTTGACATACAAACAAAGGTGGAAGCTGTTGGATGTCTATTTGTGATGTGAAAGTATGAAATCCAGCGAGCGTCAACCGAATTTTGCGATCGTGCTTTCCTACCTGCTATATATATTAGTGTAAGCGTGCAACAGTCGCGCCGCAAAAGCAATGGCGCCGGCAGCGTATATGGTTGGACGTAGGATTTGGACGGAATTGACAGGAAACTGTCGGCAATAATAGGTGAAAGAGAATATAGAAACATTAAGAATTTGGTAGTAAATAGATTTCGTATTTAGTTAGCATTATATTTTATTGAAACACTTCAAGTGCCTGTGTCTATGTCCCCCATGGTACTGCCGGAACGTACCCTGGTACTATCTAATATGCCGGACCGTACCTCGCCTACTCACTCCACTAACAAGTCTAGGGAGTCGCCTACACCTACTCCCTAACCCTAACCCTAACCATATCAAATAGTTATTAGGGTACGTTCCGGTATACCCAACCGTACCCAGGGTACGTTCCGGCAGTACCCTGGGGGACATAGACCCTATGAGCTCTAGTAACTATAGCCCGTGTACGGTTGCCGCTGGGCTATAGGATCAGCCATTACGGATGCGCGGGACCAACTTACTCGCGACGACTCGCGACTATAAAACGTCTGTGGTAGGCAATTAATGCCTCTTATCCGAAGTGAATATGTCTTAAGTTATATCCGCTACTAAAATTTAACTTCTAACTATCGTTGAAATGGTTTACTTGTGGTATTTCTTGTGAACGAACATTCGATTTGCGAACTTTAAACGGCCATTTTTGGCGGCGATGCAACAGCGCCAGTGAGCGGGAACTATGTATTTTCGCACGTGGAGGGGTGGGCGGGTTGGGTTGGTTGTGGACAAAAACATTGTTGTTGTCAAGTAACAAATTAAGCAATCAAAAAAGATTGTAATATTAGTTTTGTCATAAAAGATGAACAAATTACTATTATTAATTTGTTACTTGACAACAACAATGTTTTTGTCCACAACCAACACAACTCGCCCACCCCTCCACGTGCGGAAATACATAGTTCCCGCCAACTGGCTGGAGTAAGTTGATCCCCGAGCATTCGTAATGGCTGATCCTATAGCCCATATCAGATAGTGACCCGGGTACGTTCCAGCAGTACCCTGGGGGACATAGACCCTATGAGCAGTACTAACAGTACTCTTGTCAAAGTGATGCAACTGTTCATAGAGAAAGACACTGGGTGGAAGATTTGGGGAGAAGCTGACTGCTATATGATCTACCTGTGACTCACTCCTGTAAACACCATATTAAGTTACTAAGCAGTGATCAGTGAATAAAGTGAATCTTTCGTCATATTTTAGGTGTGAACAATCCACCTGAAGATGAAAATTTTTCCTGTGTGATCTGCCCGATGCCAGCAGTAGAAAATCTCGGGGAGGAACAAGTTGTTGTGAAGACACTCTATCTATCTATTGACCCAGCATTGGTAAGCATGGCATGACATTATGAGAGGAATTTAAAGAGAGACATTTCAAATTAAATTGACTACGTCACAAATTTTCTATGGTGTATATTTGTAAAAAAAAAATTTTACATCAAAAGTAAGTACTAATGGCACTAAATGTATCATCAAATTCTTACCTGATAAGATTGTTTTTCAATTAGTTAAGAATCCAAAAAATCTGGGCGATTCGATATATTGCTCATGACATTAAATGCTTGTTATGGGCTATGTATGAGTCAGGAGGGTTTGTTCACATCGAACGGAATAGCAAATAGGAAGTATAATGCAGCAATTGAACCATAAAAAGTGAATAGAATCACTTACATTTTGTGAAAATGTGAACAATTTTTTTTACTTTTACTATTTACAGTGACGTAATCAGTTTAAAGGACAGAATTACTGATTTCACGGTGTCCTTTTTTTTTTGCAGCGATGCAGGATGAATGAGGAGACAGGGGTCGAATACATAACTGCTTGGGAAGTAAATAAGTGCATTTCAGGGTTGGGAGGAGTTGGTGTGGTCATCCACTCTAGAAGCCAGGGATTGACTACTGGAGATGTGGTCATCAAGTCTGACATGTTTTGGCCATGGCAGCGATTCAGTACCATGGATGCATCTGCATTGTCAAAGGTATATATATAAAATCTCACATTCAAGTAACAACGCTCCTTATATACATCCCACATAGCGTCATACATCTGATAAACGTGTCCTGATCAAAGAGTTAATGAGTGTTAAGTTTCATGCTATCATTCAAGGCGCACTAGTGAAAGTGGCTGCATCTTCCAATACACAGGTGGAACAGAAAATTGCCCACACCAGACCCTCATTGGTTTTGAGCTTACTTGGAGTCTCTGGAATCACCTCATTTATTGGCATACGAAACAGAGGACACATTTCGCCTGGCAAAAACCAGACTGTAGTCATTACTTCGGCAGCTGGTGCGTGTGGGCATTTGGCAGGACAGGTGATATATGCAAGACAATAGCCGCGTTCACACGTAGCAAGAAATCCGTTATTTAGCGTTCACACGAGGCAAAATGCGCGGTCCAAGAAATACGGTATCTAAACAGATCCGGTATTTCATGTAAATACGCGGCTTCCCAGACCCCGAATAATTTGCCGTGCTTGAGAAATACCGGATCTTTTGGACCGCGCATTCCCGCGTGTGAACGCTAAATACCGGATTTCTGAAGCCGTGTATTTTATAGACTGGTCCGCGCTCGACAGTTCCAGTGTAACACGAGTGGAACTGTCAAGCGCGGACCAGCCTATGTATTTTATCGGCAGTTTGGTGCGCGCATTGGCCATGTGGTTTAGATTGTCGCATTGTTCGGGTTGGATTTGTTTAAAAGCAGCTCGCAGCTCGCAAATTACCGTGATTTCTGAGCCCGCGAATCAGCGTGTGAACGCTCAGCCGCGTAGTTTGCTCTCAGATTCGGTATTTCGCAAAGTACCGTATTTCATAAATACGAGGTCTTCGCTGTGAACGGAGGCTAATAACTGAATAACAGTCACACAGGTAACCTAGTGTGCCAGTCACTTTTGAGAAGGGCCCAATTAAGCAATTTATTTAGATCAAATATGTAGAATTGCGCTATTGGTATGTTGTGTAATAAATTCTAGTGCGTTGCAGTTTTTTACAGGTGGTTTCGATAGTTTTTGGGTTTGCGTGTATGTATGTATTTTTGAAGTAATCATTGTTGCGCACTATTAAGGAATATTAGCAGGCCATACATTATGATCGTTTACTGAAACAAACGAGACAATATTGCGGAGAATTTATTTTAATTGAAAAGGCTACTAAACCGTGTCTGGAGATATAATGTTGGCAGCTCTATAGTGCAATACGTACTCCGAATTTTGACACCCAATAACATGTGCTACGAACTTCACAAAAAATTATCATAAATGTACTTAAGACTTTTTATTTACGAGTTTGCACAAGAACTAGCATGGGGCGGACCAATGTAGTTGGAATTGTGCGGCCACACAAGCAGAAGTTGCAAATTTGTCCAGCGATGAGGTGCAAAGGTTTGACCATGCTATCAAACTACAAACAGGAGAACATCAGCACAAAGCCTAGGAAGTGTTGTCCACATGGTGTTGATGTCTTACTTTGACAATAGTTGGTGCGTGAATATCAGCAATGCCGGTAGTACGTAACGTACAGTATAGTACGTATGGAGAGTGAAAGGTTGCCAGCAGCAATTTGCGCTGATGAGGCCGTTCTATGTTCCGTTGGGTACTGCCGGACGGTACCTGCGGTACGCGTCGGTCATACCAGAAGGTTACCCGGCTACTATCTAATATGCCGGACTGTACCTCGCCTACTCCACTAACGATCTAGGGAGTCGCCTACGCCTACTCCCTAACGCCGAACCTTAACCCTAGACCTAACCCTAGACCTTAAGGACCGTTAAAACCCTAACCCTTACCCTTAACCCTGAACCCGTAACCCGCAGACCCTAACGCATATCGAGATAGAGTACCGGAGCGGTACGTTTCCGGCGAGTTACCCTGCGGGGACATAGACCCTTCATTGAGCCGCCAATTTGCCTTTTTAAAGTTCCATCGTAGGTATTCTCAGTGTGTAAATTTAGTCTGCATCTTCTAAATTACTAGTTTACATAATACTTGTTTGACATCACAATCGGACATCACTCTATTGTGCTCAATTAATGAGATAAGATGGCCATTGGATTGTCTAAATCACGAAGTGGATCTAGATTATAACTGACATTAGGTATGCTACAGGCGAGTAATGCACCACAGCAATATGGCTTGCAGGGCATGAACAGCAACACATGTAAAGTATAGAAGGGCGTTCACCTTTTTTATTATAGTAGCCCCGCGTTTCCTGTGTGGTTAGTGAAGATTTTTGGGCGGCGATTTGATGTTATTTTGCAACACATTCACCGTAGTGAAGATCGGATCAGTTTATTTGCCCTATAGATTATTATATAAGAGGAAGCGAGTAGCCTCTAGCCGTTCTAGCGGCTTATTTTCAGCCGTAATTTAGGTTATAATGCCGCCACATAAAAAGTTCATGTTCAATCACCATTAGAAATATTTTTTTAAAATGTTTTAAAAACTAAGCACTACGAGTTGATTACAACGACGGTGCGCCCACTCAAAGCGCACGATCTGAGAAGTTGCCGCAAGAACACTTTCCAGCCAAGGGCTACAGACCGAGGGTATTTCTTATTTATTACATTTAAAAGCAAAAGAATTGTAATATCTTATAAACGACATATAGTTTCAGTTATAATATGGATAAATTGCCCTAAAATGAATATCGTTCGGTTAAATAGCATTTAGGTAATACAATATAATTGCACTTTGTGATTAGCCCTCGCGTCATTTACCTGCTAAAATAAAAATGCAAATACCAACTTTTCAGGTGGGCCAAGCACGGCTCGCGGGTGTCATGGGCGCCGTTCAAATTTCGTAGCGTTGATGTGGAAATAATTAATTAAGTATCTGGCTGACAAATACATGTGGGTATAGACGATTTGTTATACAGTAAGCTAACAGTTGTATGCCAGTAAAATCCTAGAGGCTACTGTCCCTTTAAAATTTTGTTTATTGCTTCAGATGAATAGAAACTCGTATGTCATCTTGTGTGGCCAAATAGCCAAAATACAATGAAGATGTGCCGTACCCACCACCGCTCCCAAACGAAATTGAGCAATGGTGGCTGATCATAACATCACTAGGTATGCTGATGATGTATGCGGATGTATGATAATGTAAATTGATATGATTGCTTGCTGTAAGCTGCTATAACCAGTTATCAACATTATCAAATCCATGCAATCTAAGGCAAGGGCGTTTAAATGACCCTTCAACCATATTTTAAAATGCCAAGACCCGACTTCCTGCATTCATGCATTACTGATATTTTCGGAAAAGAATCAAACACTTTATTTTATATCTAACTGGAGAGGATCATAAAAAACGTTTCATCGTGTAAATGTGCAGTAACACGACAGCGTAAATTTCTAAGAGGGGGTGATGGGTGCTACCTATCACAATAAAGAATTATTGCAAGATTTCTCTGTCAAGTGAAATTATTATTGTCTTAAACAGATGTATACATGCCTATGCTAATTCATACTGTTGGTCATAAGTTATTCATACACTCGATTTGTAGTAACTTATATGATCAGTACCAGTACCGCATGAAGGGTCGTTGTCGTTATCAGGTACTACAGATATGTACCCGAGGGTAGTTTAAGGTTGTTTAGTATTATGTTATATTTATATATGAGGTATGTTTAGGGTTAGGTGCTAGGGTACACTTCTGTAGTACAAGTCTGGTACACTTGTGTATACATAGCCTATATATATGTCCTCGGCGTACATATTGTAGTAACCTGATACGACAACGAGACTCCTATCAGCACCAGTAACCAGGGCTGCGAAATTAAGGGAGTCCGGAGTCAAATACGCCTGATCTTACTGTCGGACTCGCCTGATTTACATATGCAGGAGTCTGTGTGACCTGCTGAAATTCTGGCCATACTATACTAACTAGTTCGTTCAGAGCACGGCCTTGCGGAATTACCGTATTTTTCAGCAAATGTCCAAAGAAAATTGGCAGACGGTTAACCGCATGAATTTCAAAATAAGCACGTGTTATTGTAGATACTTTTAATTTGAACGTTCAGACTCGCGGACTCCCCTTTTGAGAGGTAGGCGGAGTTACGTTGGACATCCGTGTTCAAAAGTTCATTTCTACCCTGCAGTACCGTTGAATGTTTAAGAATTATTGATCTGTCTAACTACATGTCATCAACTCCATTAGATTTAAATTTTAGAAGCGATTTCCTGTTCTTAACATCCTGAGCATTTAGAGGCAGACTCAACTCACTGGCATTAATGGTATTTTCTGGAAAAATAAGGTTAGTATAATTATGTGTAATGCCCAATTTGTTGTCACAGTGACACTCATTGCTAATATGTATGAACTTTTTAAAAGAATAATTTCTTAAATACATCAATAAATGTAAATATGTAGTAAAATATATTCTCACCTAATAGTGGATATGCTAGTTATTAGACCAACTTGAACATTACTAAAAATTCATATGCTGTTATAATTTATGAAGTAGGAAATAACAGCCACATTCTTGAATGTCACAACAATTGCTTTGTAAATGGCACCGCAAACACAAGTGCACCTGATTGTGGTTCTAGACTCGTACCACGTGTCTATTACTGCTACATGCAAATTACTGTTTCGCGCAAATTACTGTTAGCAAAGTGCAGAGACCGGTTCTCGTGAGAAATGAGGAACATTAACCAGTACCCAACAATGAGAAATCAACAAAGAAGTTTCTATCATATATTTTCATGATATTCAAGTATTGATGTATAAGTCTTCTATGTCACGTTAGCCTAAAGCATAACGCACACACTCGAGCAAAACACCTGAACGTGGAGCACAGCGAAACGCCACAGACGGTCTCCAATCAATATCCTTAAAAATATCACATGACACACAAAATTGGATGTCTATTGGATGGCTATTTTTGATGTCATGTGACAGCGGCGCTGTACGCAGTGTTTCTGTATGTTTTTCTCAGCTGTGTGCTGTGTCGGGTGGCGTGTGTTGTGTGCGCTTGCTCGCCGAGCAGAACGCGAAACGCTGGAAAACAAAATTTCCAGTTTTGCTCGGGTGTGTGTGTTGTGCTTTACTGTTAACACGTACTGTTACACAAACAGTGCCAGCTTATTTCGTACCTTTATGATTGCCTACCTTGTACTGAAATCGGTTTATAGCTATATACTGTCATATTGCTGTAAATTGTATTCAAACACGGTATTGATTCAGAGGCTTATAGCATGTTGTCACATCTATAATGGCATATTTTGTGGAGCGGTACTAGTGACTACTGCTCCAATCCTCCGCATGCGACTCGGCAGGTATTGTAATGTTTCAATCTTGCGAGTGAGAAATAT